GGGGGGGGGGGGGAAGGAACCTATTCCTGTTCAGGCTGGCTCAAGGCCTCAGGGACGAGGGCCACTGTCTTTGGGCCTGGAATGGGGTAGCTGGCTGGCTGGGGCTGTGGTTTAGAGCTCGTGATGGAGCTGGAGAGACAATAAGACTGAGACTGGGCCATGTGGAAACTCTGGGGCAGGTGCCTGGGAATGTGTGTGAATGAGCGTATGCATGTGAGTGTGTTTGCATGTGTGAGTGTGTAATGGGTGGGTTTTACGTGAGATTGAGTGTATATGTGAGTGTGTGACTGGGAGTGTTTGTGTGAGGGTGTAAGTGTGTGTGTGGTGTTTGTGAGTGTCTGGGCCCACCAAATAAAGCTGAGCAGATGGGACAGTGAGCTAGGCGCCTGGCTGAGGGGCACTGTGTTTCCTGAGCCGACTGTGGGTAGGATCTGAGTGTGTGATGGGCATCTCCGGGCCTGTGTGGGCATGGGGAGTTGTGTGGGCATCTCCGGGCCTGTGTGGGCATGGGGAGTTGTGTGGGCATCTCCGGGCCTGTGTGGGCATGGGGAGTCATGTGGGCGGCAGGTAGCAGGCCCTCACGATCTGGCTCTGGAAGTAGTCGATGACCAGCGGGAAGTAGATGTCGAGCATGTAGCGGCACTTGGGCACCAGCAGCTTCAAGGGGAGGACGTCGCACTCTTGCTCCAGGAACTTCCGCGTCGTGTCCTGGGAGGCAGACGGAGGCCGCCAAGGATAGAGAGGGACAGTGAGCCTGGCTTCCCTGAGGTCAGCCTCTGCTCAAGTCCCCACACACAGCCTCACCTCCTGGCAGACTGGTTGCCCTTTCCCCAGGGCACTGGCATTCAGAGAGGGCCAAGGAATTAAGTAATTGGGCACAGGCGGGGACCCTTCCCCTTCACCTGGCCAGCAGGTGCCTGGAGTCCCCAGGCAGCCTCAGGGCTCACCCTCGGCCTGGAAGAGGCCCCTTTAAGAGGCTAACCTCTTCCCCCTGCTCTGTCCCCCATCTCATGGCCCCAACCGTCATCCAGGGCCTGGGCCCCATCACCTGGAAAACGGACTCCTTGGTCATCTTGGTGAGAATGAGGACGATGTCGTTGCACTCCTGGCACAGGTCATCCTGGGGAGGGGACCCCCAAGGTGGGGGGCATGAGTGGAAGGCATGCTCCCAGCTCAAGCAGGTGAGGCTCTTTCAGGCAGAGGATGTTAGGGCGCTCCTGGCACGCACCCCACCCCATCCCAGCCCCTATGGGGGCTCCAATCCCCCAAACCAATCCAGAGCCTACCCAGCCTGCTCTCTCCCAGACCCTCAGTCCCGGTGCATCCTTGGGTGGTACTCACGGCCTCGGCGTGTCCCCAGGCCTCCTGTAGGCAGTGCCCCAGTGCTCTGCACTGCAATGCTTGCTCCAGGCTTTGGCACCAAAACTCGGGGCCCTGGGCACAGGCCAGGGATGAGATGTTCCCTACAGCTTCTGTTTGGGGCCAGAGCAACCTTGGGATCCACACCACACCTGGCACCCTGACCTCACCAACCTCCAAACCCAGTTTTATTGGTTATCTTTGGCCATTAAGCACGCTGGAGTCAGACAGCTCCGGGTTCCAACTGCTCTAACACCTACCAGCCGCGTGACGCTGGACAAGCCCTAGGGCCTCTCTGAGCCTCAGCTCTCTCATCTTTAAAATGAGGCTAATATACAGACGAGGGAAGGGGCTGGCGCAGAGCCAGAGCTCAGTAAGCGGCGGAGGGAGCCTTGATGCCCCTCAGCACCTGGCCCCAGGCGGGAGAGAGGTGAGGAGAAGCTGGGGAGACTCACCAGCGCCTGGGCCACAGAGTGTGGGCAGCAGCAGCCACAGCAGCAGGCGTGACTTGGCCATGGCACCTCCACTGCCTGGGCACTGTGCTTGAGGCGGGGCCCCTATAGCTTCAGGCCAGGGTGTGGGGGCAGGGCTCTGTAGCAGCAGCGGTGACCTCAGTGTTTGCCTTTGTCCTGGAGGGCCCTTCGGGGCCTTGGATTCCACCTCTTCCCAGCAGCCACCCCATCCTGCCTCTCCTTCCCTCCCCACCTGATGGCTGTTCCT